GATCAAACTCATGAAAGCCACTTTCTGAATTTTCCAACTCTACAAGGCAGAGGACGTTGCTGAATATACTCTATCTTATCGCCTTAACCCGATTGTTTAACATCCACAGATATTCAGTTTACCATTAAATATGACAAAGACAGGGGCCCATACTTAGAGGTTGAATCAGTGCATTTTGAAGCCAAAAATCTTGACCATTTCCTGCTTCAAGTGTCTGAACTCTAACTCTGACTATAACCGTTTTTGGCAAGGGATCATACAATGAAGTGAAAAGGGAAATTTAAGTCTCTTTAGAAATGTCCCTTCAGAGGAGATTGTTCTGATGACATTCAGTTTCCAGCTGACAAAAAGCAGATGACAGTGGGAGTGTTTGAGGTCACAAGCAGTGTATAGTTTGTCCTCTGCCACTATTATTAATAGACATGTTATGCTGGCATCATTAAGGTCAAACACCACTTCAGGTCCTGTTACCATGCAGCTGGTTTACATCAGAAGATACGTCCCTCAGTGGTTGTGTGTGGCTGTCAGTTCTCCTCTGAGCAACATTTAAGTTAATGCTATAAATACATTCACTCAAGTCCTGTATTTAAGTAGCTCATTTGCTACTTTAAACTCTACTCTATTACATTTTAGAGTTTACAGTGATAAACATTTACTACATTTATAGTTCCTTTGCTCTAAACTGGGAGCTCCATTTCTGGCATCCTTGGTGTGATATATCCACTAATATTTCCTTCTTAGGTTTAGACACACAAATGTATTTAATTTTATTTACTCTGTGAAGACCCACTCGACCCCACCTTCTTTTCAGTCTATGTGTGTGTTTATTTCCATTGAGCAACACCGGCAACATCTCGGCCTTCTGTGCAGGTCCGCTATTAAAGCTCTTAGAGCTTAGTTGATGTGTAGTTCTCTTCCCTGAGAAACATCCTTTGGATTTTGGTTTCTTGCACTAAACAAGATTCCATACACAAGCACTTTAGTCATCGATTCACTTACACCACTGACCATAACAGCTATACACAGCAATTAGCTCACCTATCTACTTTGTCATTTGATTTGACAAATATAATGCTTTTTATTGGTATTTGTATGCATCTACCTTTCCGTCAAGCCTGCACAGCCCAGTTTGTGCAACCATGACAACAGGGAAAACTACTGGCTCCAGCAAATATGAAATCTACCAAAGCTGAGTTTCATATAATCTAACTTGAGGCCTTTGGATCTGAGGAACGGCTGAGATGCCTTAAAAGCACGTTGGTGCACCGCAAAGAACTAAATGCACTTTCCAAGAAGAAGGTGAATAATTTTAAGACAGCAGCATTCACCAAAATGACCTTGTTTTGTTTGATTTGCAAACATACACCACCACTACCACCAACAACAACTTTAGTTTAATGAAGATATTCAAAACATACTTGTAATTTGTGTAATGTGGCTATTGTAAATTGCTGAATTATTATGCCTTTTGCCAGTAAACCTGGCATGCAGTGGAGATTGAATAACTCTGCTTCCAACTGTCTCTAAAGATCATGACAAACTGACTTTTAAATTCTTCAATGCTTTAATTTAATTAAGCGACCCATGTATAGGTAAAACGGTGAACATAATAAATGCCAAAACTTGTATTTACTGTTTCTCCACGTCTAATTACTTGGAATACTTTGATAGCTCAGCATTTACAATCTAGTGATGTCTTACATTTCACCATGTCGAAAAGGTATATCATGACTTTTAATGCTTTAACTAAGTTTTTGCAGCAGTACCTTGGCATTGGCATGACGCTGATTAGCAACATAATTCTGACAAAATAAATCCAACATTACATTAATTTACAACCAAAAACAGCAGCCGCACAGTAACATGTACAGTTTTAATTTAATATTAGCTTGTTAGCTAACCTGCTAATTTAGAAACTTGTAACATATATAAAATTGGCTGACATTATTCAATACTAACACGGCTAGTTCAAATCAGTTTTTAGAAAGACTCACCTGTCATGTAATTCGTCCATTTGTAAAGTATCCCCTCCATGTCTTCGTTTCACATCGGCTAACGTCGCTAGCCTTTTCCGTAGCCAGGCTAGCTGCAGCCGAATACTAGCTATATGTAGCTAACGGTCGCAGTAACCCTTGGTTTTCTGTGTAGCACCGCTGGTTATGTAAAACATGAGTGAAGCGTTTGTGGTTTGTGACAGCTGAATGACAGCGTCAGCGGGTAAAAATAAAGCTGAGGTGTTGATTTGTTCTGAGCTGCTCGGAAACTCGACGGCTAACTTCTAGCCACTCAGCTGATGGAGAAAAATGTCAACAAACCACCAGCTTCTCTACGGAGTCCCGGAGCAGCCATTCCACATGAACGCAAAAATACAAAAAGGAAATTTGCTTTGAATTTACCCAAATATTTATTTTTTTCAATTTTATGGTCGTTTCAGTTAAAATATAAATTTTTTTCTTCTACATTTATGTAATATCTGTTTTTGTCGCTGATATTTTTTATAAATATTTTATTTGGCAAAATATATTTATGTACGTTCCTAAAAAATGCAAGGCTTGCAAAATGTCATACATACAATTGAATTTACTAAGGTAGAAATTGTGATTTTGTAATACAATTTGGTTTATTTGTAATCCTTTCCCCGATTAATTAACGGAAGAACAGAATGAAGCACTATGATTTTCAAATATAAACAGACTAGTGACACTTTCCAGGCAGCATAAGTTAACGTAATCGGTAATTTAGACAAAGTACCTTACAAAGTGTAGGCAGATCTCTAAAGGAAAACACTAAACAGGAGATTTTTGAGAAGTTTAAACATCTTGAGTAACATCTGAATAATGAACAGCACCTGTAGTACTGTCTTTAGTGAGCTTTTTCTGGAGGGACAGTTGTGTGACTCTGTGATCCGAGCTGGAGATGTTGAGTTTAAAATTCACAGGATCATCCTCTGCAACTGCAGTGCATACTTCAGGTGAGCAGGCCTGTGTTGTTTGGCTGTGGTTTGGTTCTGCATTTATCCTACTTCAAAGCTTTCATGTAACACAGTGCAGCAGGTATTGGGAGGTTTCAATGTTACACTGTACTTTTTGATCACTAGAAATGTTCTGGAGCAATTTTTAGGGGGAAAAAATCAGTCCTGTATTTTTATTTAGTTATTTATTTTGGGAGGTTTGTTGGGATACACATATAGTATAGGTTTGTGTTTGACTCCACAATGAGCCTGTAAGAGGTAGTTTGAAAGATTACAGACACTATAAACTGGCTTTCTCATGATATTTCATCAGCACAACAACAGCAGCAGCAGTTCTAATAAAGTTGTGCACAAACTGGCCTGCACCAAAAGGACCACATCAGTAGTGATATTAGCTGTGCCTTCACCAGTTTAGCTGAAATTGTATGTCTAAATAGGCAGGTAATCAATTTAGGGCCAGACTGAGAGGTGGCCAATGATATGCCATTTCTGTTGCAGTGGGACATGTCCGCTCTTTCCAATTCTGTCTAGTCAGTAAATTTGATAATGTGAAATTCAGTTATTATATTTGCAGCTATTTAATGCCTGCTGTCCCCTGTCGCCCTAACCCTGTTACTGTATAGGAATATTTGCTACAATGCCTAGACAACTCTATATCTTTCTGTCTGTCTAAACATAGCAGCAATGCTGAATGTTTTTCTG